TTCCTCCCTTCTCTTTCATATCTGTCCTTCCTGCTCTTTCCAAGCTACCTGGGTAGATCTGGGAGGGAAACGGGCACAATGTTCCCAGACAGTGCTAACAGCTGAAATTAGCACTCTACTACTGCAATATACAGCAAGTCTGCAACTTCCCTGCTTCTTCTTTTTACACAAAACATAGATATACTATCTCAAAATGTAAGGGCATATTGTCTTTTTTCCCTCAATTAAAGACTACACAGATCTGCTTCAACTGTATCACCACTGTTTAAACACTCCATTTTAACAAGGAAAGTATTTCCCATAGGCAAAATGGAGTATTTCTCAGTGAGAAGATTAAGGAAGGAAGTTTAATTTCCCACCTTTTTAACCCAAACAGAATTCTGTCACCAGGAAGGTTAAAACCTTCTACTTTCAAACTGGTCTTACCACTCAGAGACATTAGCATGCATGTAACAAAACGAAAATCTTCTCAAGAGAAGAAACACAGTTTCACTATAACCTTTTCTGCAAATTATACAGTGTGAAAAAGAAAGTGGAATAAAAATTGAAATAATAATAAAATATTGAGAACAACATGTCAAAATTAAAACAGTAAAAATAAGAAAATAAACTCCTCGGCTGTGATCTGATGGTCTGGTGCCTCTTCGTATGCTCCTCTGATGTGGTAATATCTTTTCCATTGTAAGTCTAAGTCTGTTATTCAACATCAGGCCAGGAAAACCCCAGATTATACCGCTCATAAAATTGAAGCAACAATAAAATATGAGGTTAGTTTGAATTATAGGGTTTTGTTTGTTTGTTTTAAGATTTACTTTACGTATGCATTTGAGAAATTACTATATGAAATCACCATAGCAGGGGGAAAAAAAGATTCAATCAGAAGTAAAACACATAAATCTAGTTTCTCATACTTTATCTTACAATTTTCCTGACTTCACTTTACTTTATTCGTGGTACTCTATTTTATTGTAAGTAATATAAACACGATATCATCTGGTATCCAAACTTTTAATTACTACAACAAAAAACATTACCAAAGTAATGGGGAAAAAAAAATAGAATTCATTGTCACCAATATGTCTAGCATAGAAAATACCCGAAAACATCTGTGAAGCATCCTACAACACCTTTCCACGTGACTTGAATCCTCACACCTGATGCTGGAGACAGGCTGGCTCCAGTGGAGTAGGGAAGATCTTCTCCAGGAAGAAAGGGAGATAAAGTGAGGAAAAGGAAAGTGCATGGCACTACCAGATTCAATGACAGGACTCTCCAGGTTCATTCCAATAATGCACCACTTTTCCACACCTCACCAGGCACAGCTGGGCTATCAACACAGAAATGGTTCTGTGCATTCTAAACTATTTGCTTTTCACAGGCATTATCTACAAAGAACTACCAAAATCACAGTGGATTATTGCAGATTTCTTTAAAACAGACACACGGATTGCCACAGTATGACCTTGAACTATTTCCCTTGTTTTGCTGACGTTCGAGATTGCTTTATTTCTTCCCACTCATCCTTGTCTTGCCACTCAATTCAGAACCACTACCAGTAAGATAAAAGCATTCCTTGATCATTTTTTTTTTTTGGTCTGACATTATTTTAAAAACGTGGTTTCAGTCCTAGAAGTTCTCCTCCTCCCCCCAAGACATGCTTTTTTTTCCTTTTCTGACACACAAATGTAAAACAGAAACATCTCAAGTGTTTGATATTATAACATCGGAGTAGAAATCTCACAAAAACATTTTATGTTATGTCCCATTCTACCAGTAATATTATCCATTATATACAATAATAGTACTAATACAAAAAGTGTCAAGGTAACAATTTTCAACCAAAAAGAAAAGTCACCAACACCATTCCAGATTTTTTCTCTTTTACAACAGGAGAATTAACATGATCTAAATTCATATAAAACTCATGGATTTCCTTTGGGTCTGTTGGTTCATTTCAGCACTCTGAAATATTACCGAGATCTGCTCTGAGTTTACACGCTATTTTTCCGTTCTCCTTTCTTCTGTCTAGGATCATGTTTTCTCTCCTGTATTACTGTTTTTTTCAGCTTTTCCCTCTCCTCTGTCTAATGTTGGTTGAGTCTAATCGCCTTCCTAACAGCCTGTAACTGGTCATTCAGTAACAGCAAAGGCAGGAAAAGAGAAGATTGCAGATCTCTTGCAAAAGCATTCAGAACCTCAATCCTCCTTAATGATGACTATCATGTTTTCATAGATTTTTAAATTGAAAGCAACTTTAATTTACAATGGGTTTTATATTTTGGAGAAGAACATAATTTTCAGCTCAACTTAAAAGAAAAAAGAACAACTGCTCTACTTCAAAGAAAGAAAGAAAAAAAAAAGCCCTAGAAGACTACTTGCTTCTAGATCACTACCTAAACATAATCAGCACCTAAGCTTTGCACTGGAAATAGGAATACTGTAGGCTTAGGAAAGAACACAAGCTAACCGATGACAAATGCTACTTTTGAAAAGTTTTTGTCACATTTTTGAAAAAGCAGTTATAGGATTTAATAAAAGGAAAGAGAAAATAGGCATTCAGGAACCCTCCTGTGTATCTCCTATACTCTGTACCTGTGGGTACTAAAAATAATTCTCTCTGCAAAGCTGGCACATGGTATCAGAGGTGAGCAATATTTCTGATAGATTTTTTACATTTGTATGTATCACAAAAAGATTAATTTACCTAAATCTCACCACTCAATGCATCACGTTGAATAACATCTTGGTGATGGATTTGCTGTTACACATTGACATTGCCATGTCCAATGAGGAGATGGCCAGATCCAGAAAGCAGTAAAAGCTGGGAGATGCGGTAAGAACTAAGAGCCTAATCGGACTTGTGAAAATAAAAGCGTTGTTTTTCAAACTGGATCGTCAATAAGGTGTTCTGTTGAGGAGAATTTTAGTACACCAAGTAAAACATTGAAGTTAAATGAGTTTCCATTATTTCAATTTATCTATAAGCATTTCAAATCTGTTAATATTGCATGGTTCACAGAATTTTAATTTATGATAAAACTAAATCATAATAAATCTAGAAGTGTAGAAAATAGCTTTGTGAATGGATTTGAATGGGAACAAAATCCCATTTTCAGAACAATTTTTAGAAATTAAGCCTCCTCTGTGTTACTTAGAGATGTACTAAAAGTGACGAAACAGATTTAAAATTACAAGAAAAGTGAGAGGTATAGTTTGTTGCTTTTTTGTGTGTTTTTTTTTCTTTTCATTTTTTTTAAAGTACAATGACATAAATTGTGATAGTACCTCAATATTTTAAAAAAAATAAATAAACTTTTGGAGTTGAACTACTGTTTTGTAACACAACAGTTGAATCGTATCAGGGGAAAAAGGTTCAACGGTACTTTAAATAAATTCTGTGGTCTAGGCATCATGAGGTCCCTCTAATATTGCTGGGCATAAATGGATAAAAACTCATACCAAGAAATGTCTTGTTTTATGCTGCTATCCTGCAAATCTTAAACCATAACAGAGACTGAATTTCTCTTGAAGTATAGATTCTTGTTGCTTCCTCTTCAAGATGAATACCTAGCAGGTTATCGATCTGCTTCTGAAGGACATGGTGTTTATTATGTAGGAAAGCACTGCTGAGCACAAGCGTGAGAAATTAATGATGGTTTTGTAAGTGTCCACACTGTGGTGCTGAACCAGTGGGGCAACTGTCAATCTGTATGATAATGCATCCCAAAACTTCATAAAATCAGTGATGTGAAGAAGCATTGATTTTTGAGCAAACCAGGATTTGTGAGAGAGTAAGACTAAAAAGTTTACTGAAGTTAACACCTCTGTGTATATAACAGTTCCTTCATACTTGCGTGATTTTTTTTTAAACACCCGGAGATACAGAAATCCTTATCCCAAAAATCTTTCCAAGTACAAATGAATTGCACGTACTGTTTTGTTTCTTGAATGATGTTTGATCATGTCCTTCTTTCTCTTATTAACATCACTGTTAGAAAAATTACCTATTCAAAAGGAAGTCACTGCACTTTATTTCCAATTACTTAATAATTCACTTATTATAAGGAGGAAAATTAAATGCAAGCGAACAGACTCATTCTTTAATCAATGTCTGCAACAGTATGTATGAAAGTAGGTCCTTCTCAGAATGGCAAGTATCAAAACCTTTAGTTCATATTTTAACTAAGCTGAGTTTGCACCTTTATCACCCTGTATGATGGAGGACAAATCCCTGCAAATCCATTTTTACTATTTTTCCTCTTCAGTTTAATTTAAAAATATATGAGCACAGAAAATTCCCCAGGTAAAAATTTTTAGCTGATACTTACGAAGAACATGAATCTGGGTTATAAGCATTTGGAAGGACAGCTGGCTTACTGTAGTTTATTTTCAGAACCAACCAATGTCTAGGTTTTTGTCACAAATGATTGTTGCACTGCATAAAGTCTCATTTCTATGAACTTAAACTATACGAAACACAAGTGCTTTGCCTCAGTCTGATGCACAGGTTTGCTTTCTAAAAGCCCCTCAATATTTAGCAATAAGCAAACAGTGAATTAGTTTTACTTTTTTACAACTTCAAAAACATGAAAAAATACACAAAACTAAATCTGGTTGTTAAAAATTAGCACCATTGTTACAGCTACTAGCATATTGTAGATTATGAATATTACTTCAAGCTGTGTATAAAAATCATGTATGAGAAACTATTTCTCTTAAATTTCTTTCTGCTTCTCATCATTAAGTTTAATTTAACGTACTCTGAGCACAAAATTCTGTGAAAGATGATTGTGTGGAAAGTAAATTGTAAGGTAAACACTACATATATTATATGATATAGGTGTACTAGACTTCTCTGATACTGATGCTAAAAACCCCCAACATTAAAAAGCACCTTTAGTCAAACTGAGGAAGAAAAGTGAAAAATTCACCTGCAGAAGAATACTCATGTATTTTTAAGCACGATTTGTATTAAGAATAAACTGAAGAAAAAGGCCTACCGTTTTCTTCGTCGGACTTATTCTCATTGTCGGAGTCGGTAAGCGTGAGCGCTGAGTTTTCACGACTTGACAGACCAGAACTTCGCCTGGATTTGATCCCTCTTCCCCACAGCCTGATAGCATGCTCCGGAGACATTCCTCCCTCTGTGTCTGAGTCAGCATCGGAGCCGGTGCTCAAGGAATAGCCTTGATGGAGTATTCCTATGTCTGAGCAGTAGCCACTTCGATGGGGAGAGGGCTCACAGATTCCTAGTTCTGCAAGAGTGAAGTTTGTTCCTAGAAGGGCAATTTAAAAAAAAAAAATAATAAATAATTTAAAAGCTAGGGAATGAATTTTACGTTTGAAAACAATACATCTTTTAAATTTCTCTTAACTATGCTGTATCCCAAGCCTTTGTAAAGAATTACATACAGAGATCCCCGGTGCAGAGGTCCAGCAAGAGGTAACTAAAACTTACTGAGCATAGTTAAAATGGATGAAATATACAAAACAAAGTTAGGAGAGGTCTCCAAATTTTAGGTCACTGTTTTGACCCCAAATAATTAATCACTTAGGTATGGGATTAATATAAAGCTCATGACAAGCGCTAATGACATGATCAGCTTTATTATGTTTCTAACGTTATATTTGTAGGACCAGAGCATGAGCTTTGAAGTTCAGCATTTGGTTACTCAAAAAGAGGATTTTTTTCTTATGAAGTTAATTTTCTCATACACAAGTCTTTCATACAGATAGGATTTTTTATTCAAATTTTCATATCGTTTCCTATTTCCTGGAAAACAAACACCTGTTTCGGAGAACAGTTTATAGATCAGGATCACTTGAAAGAATGCAAACCTATCAGTGATGTAACATCAAACTTTGTCATCAGTTTTACACTTTTACATTAGGTGAGATTGGTAGTTCCATATCTGATATAGAAATCAAGATAGATTTCACAATCTTTGTAATTGTTTTCTACCTCTTTTCATCATGTTCAAGAAGGAAGTGTGCATCAACACCAAAATCAGGAAGTCACTGGTTTTAAAGGCAAAACTTTCAGGAACAATGTCAAAACGTGACCTTTAGCGTCAATAATGACTCAGTGGACAGTGTCTCATACGTTTTTAAAACACATGGAGTCCCTCAGGCTTCTCAGAAAGTATAGACTTGCTGGTTGATTTCTGCTTGTGCATTGGTTTCCTACAGTAATGAACAGGATGGTAAAAAAAAAAAACAGGGAAATATTCACTGGTCTCTAAGGCTTTTGAAGGTTTTGAAAAGTGAAATGATTTTAGCTTCATTACGTTGGGCTAAAAATGAAGAACAAAGACAGACTTAAGTAGCTGGAAGTGTAACTGCCAACTATTCAATTAATTTCTTAATTCACAGGGAAACTAAATCTGTGGTCTCTGTTTGTAAAATAGTAGCTTTATTTTATAAAGTTTGTATTTTCTCCTCTTCCTCTACATTTTTTCAGAATGAAGCTATACAGTGGAAGTTCATACACTCAATAAAAATATACTTAAGTGTCTTCTATTAATAAAGATGTTAATTGGATTTTTCTTTTTTTTTTTTTTTTTTAAATATTACAACTTCTTTCACCGATTAGCCAGGAAAGATCATACAGTACTAAATCATTCTGGTTCATCTATCTGTATCAGCCCTCCCCAAGTTTCAAACCTAGTCGAAGTATTTTTTGGATATGACATGTATGCACACATCTACAGAAAGTAAACTGGGCCCTAGTTAATGTTCATTCCTAGAGCTCATCCACTAAAGGAAGGTGATGGATTTGTTCTGGAAGACTGAACTCCAACTTCCTCCAGCAACAGCTAGGCAGTAACACCGAGCATGCCAAAAGGGAGGAGATATGCTCCCTTTCTCCCCTAGTGTAACCAGGAAACCAGCCAGCAGCACGAGGGTGGCCAACAAAATCAGGTAAAGAAGTATCACTGACTTCAGTGCTTCAGAAGAAACGCAGCGTTTAGTAGCAATGCCTAAAAAGAATACTAAAAGGCTGACATTAAACAAGTCAGCTCTCTCATCAACACCAAATTAACCCAAACCCTCCTAGTTAGGAGTAAATTGTAACCTGCCTTCTAATATTTATTCTAGTAATCAGAAATTTTGTGGTTTAGTCAAAAGCAATGAACTGAACAGCCCTAAAAATGAGCTTCTCAAGTGCACTTCAGTCTAGAGATTTTTTGCCTTTTTTTTTTTAAACAAGAGCTCTAGCATGACACTTGGATGAAACTTTTAAAGAAAATGTAAATTTTAATCATGTGCAATTTCAGTAGAAGGCATTTAACAAAACCAGCTCAATTGATTAGTGTTGGTTTAGTCATATTAGCAAACTAACCTCAGACTCATTAAAAAAAGGTCAAAATCAACTTAACATATAAAATATATATAAAAAAACAGAGTGAACTGAAGCCTATTAGTCTCACACTTTTTGACCTACACAGGTAATGTGCATGTTGACATGAGATACATCTTAACATTTCCAAACTCACAGTTAAAGTGAAGTTTTTCAAGTTTTCTTGTTTGCTAGTGGCACAAATGTATACAAATGCATGCCAATTATGAATATATTAGCTTAATTAAGCTGTTTTACATTTTAATGATATTCTGTGGATTTGAACAGCCATTACGAGCCCACATGATTTCACCCTGATTAGCATCTTGTATTGACGTCAAAATCTGACTACAACATCTGATGCAAAAAGCAATCTTCAGAGAAATTCTTACTTCATTTGTCCGAGGAAAATGGTAAAGGCACTGGAAGTGGAAGGAAAATATAGTATTTACAGAAGTCATTCATCCATTTGAGTTTTATTATCTCGAAATTTGGCATCTTCCAGAAACACGGAGAAAAAGATTTGAAAACTGATGAAATTTTAAAAATTTGAGAAGTGGATCAGATCAACTCAAGAACACAAATGAAATCAGCCTCTGAGCCTCTGGGAGAGGATCTTCTATGCTGCTTCTCACAAATCTTACAGTCTTACAACAGAAAATCTCAAGCATCCTGATAATAGACCCAAAATATTCTAGAGATTTCCCTCTCTAGCAAAAACATGTTTTTCTCCGGAAGGCTCTAAGCTAGTTTTATTTATTAATTTTCAGAAAGAACCCTACTATTACTTTGCAAATAAGGCAGAGTCTCATGAACAACAACAAAATGTCTAACTCATTTCATATCCACTCATACTGGCGGAATACTCCATACGAGATCCTGATGACAGAAAAGCCACCAAGGACAATGCAGCCTTCCTTGCTCCCACAGTAGGAACCACAGTATCTACGAGACGGAGCAAAGAAACACAGAGACAGCCTGGCCTGGGGTTAAGATTTAGTGTCTCCTTCCCAAATTATCTTCCTTACAGCTCTTTAAGTGACTAGGAGATCAAGTAAATCAAGACCTCCTACAAGAAAAGCAAACAAAGGAGGGCAGCAGTACCCGTTGCTTACCATACCCTGGGAATTAAAATTGTACTGTTGCGTCATCACAGAGAGAAATCTGGCCCGTGAGCTAAAATGCACTACTAGCACTAGCAGCCAAGGCAGACGGATGGCTTCTTACGGTGCTATTCAGCATACTCTAGGGCTTGCAGGGAGTTGAGAGTAACTGTGTTTTACTGAAATGTCACCTGCAAAGTAGGACTGCAATGTGCGAGCAGAATCCATTCTTGCACATTCAAAACTTGGGGTTATTTCTTTCAGATTTTTGTAGCGTCTACTACATTGCTGGTGACGCTAAGTGAAAAGAGATAAAGAACACCAGATCATTATTGGTGGAAAAGAAACCTCTCCCTCTCAAAGAACACACCACCAAAAAAAAAGTCGCAAGTTTTTTTTTCTTTTTCATATGCAACAGAGATTACTAGCCTCCATCCCCACCTGCAGAAATCAGTGGATCATTTCTATTAAAGAAAAGCAGTTAATACCAGCTCCTCCCCTAAGGTGTGTGTAATCTCTCGTACAAAAAGAGACCAGTAATATACCAGTTTAGAAGAGTAATATAATGTTATGTACTTGATCATCATTGCCCATAATCTACATGGTGTGAATAGCCTCTCAAGAGAGTAGGAAAGATGTTTTCCTTTTAATTAATACATTACTTCTATTATCTTTTGAGCACATTTCCTTTTACAGAAATTTACTACTTACTTAGTATATAAATGCTTACTAAAAGTGTGTTTAGTTCAATGACGTACAATTCTACTCATTATCTCATCTAAGACTGGAAAGCATTACCACACAAGCAAAGGTTATTTTCACCTAACCTCTAGGCAGAGGTCTCATTTGGGTAATTACAAATTGCAGGAATTGCCCTTCTGAAGATGGATCTAATCCAGCTGTGATCGCTACAAGATGCCCCAGAGGAAGATCTCTTAAACCAGTAATGTACAGAGATGATAAATTTCCCTTCAACACTAGATCAGCAGTTCAAAGCTGGGCTAAGTCTAAAATCAAAAGGATAAATATCACTTACATTCTTTGCTACTATTATCAGCTACAAGAAGTCAGGATAATAAGAATACATTTATTGTAGACATTCCATCCTTTCTCAAATTTTTCTTATTTTCATAGCTATAATGATTTTTGCTGGCACGAGTACCACAATTTAACTCCAATCTGTGGTATATGAAGAGGTCATTCTTTTTAATAAACTCTGATGCACACTTGATTTTTCTCAATTCTTTATGAATTTATTATATAGGATTCTCATTTATTATAATGACAGGGAGAACAGATGATCACAATCTCTTTTTTTTATCCACTTGTACACATTTTTAACATTTACCCTTTTTACTTATCTTCCTTATCTGAAAAACAACTGCCATTTTTTAATTGCTCTTTGTATTTCACCCGTTTCAATACTTGTCTTCCCCCATAGTTAAAGATCCTGTTTTACAAAACCTTTTACTTAATTTTGTTTCTAATTCTGTACTATCTGATACTCCAAACCTAAGCTGAGGGATACACCACTGTCTTTATGAATTTTTGAAGCTTTTCAACTATTTTATTTCTGATTTAAAAAAAAAAAATATATTAAGGTAAGTCCTATCTTTTGTAAATGGCTCCTTCCCCTCCCCCCTTGACACATCATTATAAAATATACTGCATCTTTCTGGTGGTTTAAATATCCTTAAACCAGAAGTATCTCTTCTGTGCGACACACAGAAATTTTAACCATGTAATCACAACAACTAGCCTCTGTGGCAAATTTAATATTAGCATGAAACATGCCTGGAAAATTCTGTCTCCTAATATCACTGACATTACAATG